CCGTGCTTTAACAGCTGAGGTCCTTCAACCTGTACAACAAGGCTGTCAATTGTTAAATCTTACAAATCAAAATCACCAAGCCATGAATGGTTTCGTTTACTCACAAATATGGCAGGTGGAATGCAGACAAAAAGGGCAATGATCGAAATGTAAGCATAGATATTTGTACTGTCCATATCAGTCTGCATCAGGACCGAGCGATTATCACAACAAGAACTAGTCGGAATATTCCAAAGACTTCATTAAGTAGCATATGCTTTCAATTCACAACAATCACAAAAAGAAACTGACCATGGCTTTCTTGGAGTAAAGACTCCTGTACGTAAAAGATATATTGGATATCATAGCACTGATGAAGCCCGTCCAATTGAAAGACAACTCAGTCAGTGATGCCATGGACACACCTACACTCAATTAGAACCAAATCACACATAAAACTCAGCCGTGTCTTAATAATTAACATATAGAACATAATGTTTACAAGGCAACAAATAGAATAACAGTAGCCTAAACTGTTTATCTAAATGGTCACATTCACATAAATTATCTAATTCATTGGCGACATTCACCAAAGGGATCATTAATGTCTGATTCCAATAACAGTGCTTTGCTCACAGCCAGAGGCTAGAGAGGGGATAACCTTACCAATAACAACAGGAGCCAAAGATAGCCATAAAGTCAAGGGTATTGGTTGTCCCAGTATGAACTGTGATGCAGCAGCATTGAAGAAAGGCTCAAGAGCTGAGAAAAGAAAAAGTAAATAATAATAATAAACCACTGTTCACCATTAAGAAACTACAAGAGCTGTGGAGAAACATTAATGCCTGTAGCATGAAGTTTTTTTCTTTTGAATGGTACCTTTGATGGTGTGAGTGAAAGACACAGCAACTGCTGCAAATGAGACATTGCTAGTTACATGGCCAATGGCGTGACATACAGCAACTGGTATCAGCAACTTCAGGAGGTTTGAATCAATAGGCTACAAAAAAAAAAGGAACATATAGAACTCTGAGTTTTTATTACTGTCAAACTCCATACTTAGATAATTCTATCATTAGAGATTGGTCATTTGAGATAAATGTTTTTAACGGACAAAAATCATCATGCTATAAACTTAATTTCAAATTTTCAACAGTATACCATGTCCTATAATTTTTTTTTACTACGTAACATAATATATAGAAAATTTGTATTAAAAAAAAGTTGAAATTGATTTTTTAATATATACGAGAAAGATAACTATTGAAATAAAATCCATTAGTTTACCTTATCCTACAACTAACTAGTAATAAATATCAATATATAATTATACTCACAGACATTAACAATTTATTATACTTTATCAATACCCTTACAATTAAAATTATCACATAGTAATACATAAGCAATCTTTGTCAGCCCCAAAGAAAGATTATGGGAAACCAGGAATAGCAGCAGCTCATGCCACGTTACAACATGAAACGGGATTCTTTACTGATATCGATATAATTTAGTAAACAAGTTACAAAGCAATACAAACTCCAATAAACTCTAATTACCAAAAAATAAATAAATAGTAACAAGTAAAGAATGATTTAGATTCCAGTTCCAGGCTTAAAGAGAAACTACTTACAGCCCGCTTTGGAAGGCCCACAGCCCAGCTCACCAAACAGTAAACCACCCCAACTAGCAAGTGAATAACCGACACAAAACTGCAAAAGCAGAAAACAACGCCAGCTTAAAAACCACGTTGAACCTACGCATCCGAAATCTTTATCCCAAGCACCGAGAATTAACACTAGCTTTTATAAAGCAAAAACAGAAAACAAGAATTGAAGAAGAAAGAATGTAGTACTTACTAAGGATACGGAAAATAGTTGTAAATCTTCTTGTTGAGTATATTGAATATCACATTCAAGAAGTACCTGAGCGAGAAAGGCGATGATGTGATCTCGTATCGTAGACAAAATAGTATATAAACACAAGTTACCTGTCCGGGCTGAACCGGAAATTTTTTCCAGTTTAAATTTGACAGGTAAAGGATCAATTTAGGTTGTGATTTTATTGTGCGCACGGAGGCGCAGTTTAGAGAAGAGTAATTCACCTACCACATGAAGAAGAAAAAACCAGTGACAAGAGCCGGATACTTCTCGAAGAAGCCGACAGGAGCGATCTTCGCTTCCCTGAAAAGAAAACACCGAGTCAGACGAGTCAGAGTCCGACACGTAGAATAGATTCGATCGAGTTAGAACGGAGGAGACGGACCTCACCCGGCGGAATCGCTCCCCTCAGCCGGAGACGACGAAGCTGCGGCTCGAATCCGAGGAAGCATCTCCCGTTTGACTGCGAACAAATTAGCGGGAACAGCCGGCGAGCTCTCCAAAAGCAGAGCCGGTCTCAGTTGCCTACCCCAAATTACATTTCCGCCCTCACCAACGGCTCCGATAGGCTTGGCAACGGCGAAAGACGCTCTGTGGATCTCCCTCGGTGGCTTCCTGAGGTACGGTAGGCCGGCAACAGTGGCGGAGCGTGACAATACTCGCGACTCCATGAGAGCGATAAATGTGGTTAGCGTCGATAGAGCGAGCTCTCTGTAATCACGAGGAAGAGGAAGAGGAAGAGGAAGAGGAAGAGGAGAAAGGTTTGTGAGATGGGAAAACGAGCGGTTAATAAGATTTGTTTTGATTGGGTGGGGTTATGATCCGACGCGTCGCATTTCACGGGAATGTAATGATTGTTCCGTTGGATCACGGGCGGTGGAGAGAGATGGACGGTGGGGATTGGAAGATGGAAAAGATTTGAGGTGAGGATAATTGGGGAGGGAGATATGGTGATTGGAGGAAGTGGGGCCATCTTATCTAGAATTGAAAGGCTAGAGTAAGAGAGCATGTCTTGTCCAGTGAAGGAAATGGCGGTGTTATTCAAAATCCTTATCAGCTCTGAAAGCCACAAATTTTATTTTTATTCCTTGAGTTGTGAGTTTTGTGACGTTGAGTTTGGGGAAACGTTAAGCAAAAGCATAACCAATTTTGTTTATTATTTTTAAATATATATAAAAATAATTTATCTTAAAATATATATCTAATTTTAAAATTTTTTTATGATAATATTCATAAACAAAATTTGATGAAAAATCAGAATACGACTTGAAAAAACAAATGGTTGTCATCTCAAACTAGTAATATATTTTAGTTATTAAAATATTATATTTTTGCTATACATTATTATAAATTAGATTTTAAATGTTGAATCGAAATGAAATGTTTAGTTAATTGATAGCAATTTCGTAAATTTTGAGTACAAAATATAAAAAATATTTATTTAAGTTATTATTTTTTTTAATAGTTAGATTGATACATAATTTTATTTATCATAATTTATACATAATTATGTCAACTTATTATTTATCATGACAATAACATATTATAAAATTAACTATCTTTTACAATAATTTCAAATGATAGTTTTATTTCTCATAATGTTTTTTGAAGTTTTCATGTTATATCAATAGTTAAATACTTTTATTACGTATCTAATTATGTTACAAAAATATAAAATATGAGTCATTTAAAATTAAATTTAATAATTTTATAAAATAATAATTATAAAATGTGTTGTTTAAATGTTTCGTCTGATCAAGTAAATGAATAATACAGATAAGAAAGCAATAGATATTCACAAATCTATTAATGCTTATGATCTTATTCGATATTCTTTTTCTATTTCTTATGATTTTTTTTTGTTAACTTAAAGTAAGATCTATTTCTCTTATAGTATTTGATCGAATGAGTTTACTCTCATCTTTTTATGAGCTTTCTTATTTGATCAAAGTCCTTATTTCTCGTTTATCAATTATTGAGTAAATAATTGAAAGGTTTATTTAAGTCTTTCGACTATTTCTATTGTAATAGGTTCACTTGGCATTATAATATTCATCTAAAGTAATCAAAGCCCATCCAAATTGCTTGAATCTTGTATTAAAGTCTCTTGGCCTTTGGTCGCCCATGTCTTTTTCTTGTTTGTCTGAATTTTGAATTGTATTTGGAATGATTTATACCGTCCATGCTTACACCACCTTATGTAAACACAAGTGGTGGAGAGTGTAGTTGTCCTACTTCATGTAAATGACTTCTTCGAGTATTAAATTTGTAAAAGTTGATATTAGTACTAACTTTGACATATTAAATTTAAATAGGACAGCAAATAAAAATTAATTATTTGAAATGTGTATAATACTTTTTAATTTTTTGAAAATTTATGATAATAATTATCCCGAATTCCAATTAATTCAAATAAAAATTATAATTTGAGAGCCCAGCCCAGCCCAGCCCAATAAGAATCCGCCAGGTTAGCTGGGACCCACAAACACAAGAAATCAGAAATCTAAGACCCCAAACACTCAGAAACCACACAAACACACCTCTTTCAATAATTTTTATTTTTGTTTGAAAAACCCAAACACAGCCGTCTGGCAAACCTATAGACATTAACTTAAACAATCGAAAATTAAATAATAATAATTAAATTTATTTTTATAAGAACAAGAACTTGAAAAAGGAAACTAATTGAAATTAGTAGTATGCACATTAATTTCACGAAATAGAAAGATAAAAAAAAGTTAAAACAAAAAAGAAAGTTTTGAAAATTTGTCAAAAACAATTCGAACAAAAAAAGAAAATCGATTTTATAAAAAAAAAAAAAAAAAAATTAAGGAAAAGATTGAAAGTAATGGAATTTGGATTTAGACTGAGCAAGGACTGTTGTTCTGTTCCTGATTTTGCCTTTTCCTATTTTGCTTTTGTTTTGATATTATCATCAATATTAATATTAATGATAACAATATTAATATTAAAATTATTATTATTATTATTATTCTTACTATTCTTCTTCGCTCGTTTGTTTGATCCTTTATTCTTGATCGCTTTATTGTTTATTTCATTGTTTGTTGTTGGTGATAATAATTCATCTCCGCCTTTCTCTTTCTTGACTCTCACGATATTTCCTTGTTTAGAGAGAGAAAAAAGAAGAGAGAGAATCGTGTTGAAGAAAACCCTAGAATTTGGGGTCTTTAGGTTTGTTTATTTGTTCGTTTTTTTTTTTTTTTTTTTCTGTTTTGAATCTCTGCGTCTTGTTCAATCGAAATCTTCTTGTGTTCTTCAATGGAGGCTGGTTCAGATGGAGAAACTCCGGTGAGGAATAATAGTAGTAATAATAATAATAATAATGGTAGTAATAACAAAAGTTTAGGTAATTCCAGTGAAGGCCTGGCCAAGCCGAAGCGTCAAATGAAGACTCCGTATCAACTTGAAACCCTCGAGAAAGTATATGCAGGTATGGTTTTTCTCGTCCTTGAAGTACTGATTCTGATGTATACATGTGTTTTGGATGCTTTTTGAAGTTTTATTTTGTTTGTGTTTTGGGGATTGATTTGATCAGTGGAAACGTACCCGTCGGAGGCCACGCGAGCAGAATTATCGGAGAAATTGGGCTTATCGGATCGGCAATTGCAGATGTGGTTTTGCCACAGGAGGCTGAAGGACAAGAAGGAGGTTCCAGCGAAGAAACCGCGCAAGGGAATAGCTCTCCCGCCGCCTGGGTCGCCAGAAGATGAATTGCGGGTTGGGCACGAACCCGATTATGGTTCCGGGTCGGGTTCGGGGTCGGGTTCTAGCCCGTTCATGGAGTCAAGGAAGCTGGGGCCAGGTAGTAGCAATTCTCGGGGTGCTATGGTGGATGAAGGGCCAATTGGGAGGAGGTACTACGAGTCCCCACAGACTATAATGGAGCTTAGAGCAATTGCATGCGTAGAAGCACAGTTGGGGGAGCCATTGAGAGAGGATGGACCAATTCTTGGAATGGAGTTTGATCCATTGCCTCCTGGTGCTTTTGGCGCCCCTATAGGTATAAGTAATGCTTCTTGTATTTGTATTTTTGCTGCTTTCTGTTGGCTCTTGTTTACAGAAGTTAGCTGTCCGGTTTTTATTGGATAGAGGGTTTATTTTTCTTTTCGGATCACTTTTTTCATGAACCAGAAAAAAATTTTCTTTGATGGTTATGTGATATTCTTTTGTGTTATTGCATTGATGACAATCAAAACAAGGCTTACAATGGCTTTCCTAGAATAAGTAGAATTGAAGGAATAGTTATTACTTTTTCTGATTTTCACATAAATGGAGGCTTTAATCTTGGACATGTGTCCGTTTCATCTTGTTGGGTCTTGATGACTGTTTTATGGTACCTAATGAGATTCTGGAAACTTCTCATATTCTTCTCTTTCCTTGTTTACTTTTGTTTGCTCATGATATATCAGCTCTTAATGTGGTAAACTCAAATGAGTTGAATGTATGAATTGTCTCCTGCTTCATTTCACTTGCAAGAATAAATAACGATAATAACTAGTGGGAATTTCTATGGATCAGTTAGCTGGGGGTATCATTTTTTTTTTGACTGAAAGCTTGTAACAATATCTGCTCTATGAGGCACTCATTACATATAAAAATGGTAGGAAACATGTAACATTTCGACTTGAGATTTCAATAGAGGCCAAAGGATAGTGGAGAACTATCCATGATTTTATATTCCTATGATTGTACATTTGTGGTTTTGATTAGATGAAGAAAGGGCTTGGTCACAGATGTGCTTGTTCTGATCATTTTTTGCTGCATGGTAGTTGTGCTTGCTTGTGAAGTTTAGTATTTATTATTCCTTTTTTCTGTTTGTATTAGTATTTATTAGTGTTTAGTATTTATGAGCTTCATATTTCATGGTTCTTAGGACTTGTTTGTATTAAAACTAATGATATTCATTCATCACATACAGGTGTTATATTGTTTTGATAATTTTTTGTTTTCTTGCTTGCGACTTTGTTTTCTTTTTACTTATTTTTTCATTTCAATGTGGGGTATTAACTGCAGAGCAGCAGAAGCGATTGGGCCATCCTTTTGAGAGTAAACTTTTTGAGCGACATGATGCCAGATCAAGCAAAGTTTGTTCCTTATCTACTTCATATGCTTTTTTTTTTTTTAATTTTTATCATATTTGTTTTGAATTCAGCTACTTTTTGTTTAGATATGCACTTAGAGTTTGTATGCTCGTTCTTCACCTGTAGGGTAATTATTTTAATCTTTTTTTATTGGAGAAGAAAACAAGAAATTTATGGACAAGGCTTATCCACAAATAGATGCGAGAAGAAATTGGTCAAGACTCAAAATATCTATAGGTTTCTCTGTCCCCTCTGAATGAGACAATTATAATCCTTAAAATACAAACGGTTTACACTGGGAGAACACACTCTCAAAAGTTCACCTAGTTCATATAATCCAAAAAAGGTCGTGGAATGAAAGATCTTTTTATGTTCCTTCTCGGCTTTTATAACTTCCTGTGTTTGAAGCTTTTCAGCTCCTGATCCTGTAAAATAACTTTACTCACTTCTACAGTAATTCTTTTATTTAGCGTAGCCATTTCCTAGTCTATATATTTTGCATTCTTTATTGTGGCTTTTCCCACTCAACTTTGAAATCTGTCTAGGGTTAATCTTCTTGATCTAGGATTTGCTATGAGTAGAATTAATAGGAGCATGGAGAAATTAATTTAATCTCTGCCTTGGGAAGTCGAATGTTCTGATTCAGGTTTATCCACTGTATGTAATATCTAGTAACACGCGGATATTCTACAAACCTATATACTGAGATTGTCTATCCGTAGCTGTCATCCTTGTAAATTCCCTATGTTATGGTCACATTTAGAAGGCCTAAATAAGAGGTTGAAGTTCAATTAAATATGGAATCCTAATTAGTATTGACTTCTTAAATAGCACATAATTTTTCATTAATATTGGATTTTTATAGTATAGAATTTTCAATATTTTAGTAGAACATTTCTAATTAGATTTAGATATTTAATTAAATTAAGATTTCTAAATAAGAATTGTATGCTCTATGTAAAGGATATGCTTGTTATTAATAAAAACAAGTCATAATATTATTTTAAACTATGAGATTGGAACTTTCTCTAATGAGATTTAAGGTAGCAGCTCTATTTGATGAGCTGTAATTTATTTTCACAAAATAGGTCATTTAGAATCGCAGCAAGGAGAAGAAGCAAATTTTGGAACTGGAAATTCCAAAGAACCGCCTAATGACAAGATTCCGGTTTCGGGAACATAACAAATTGGTATCAAAGCCTTACACAATGGGCAACTCTGCAATAAAAGAAGATTTACGATTGATACTCTAAGAAGTCTAGACCACAAATGAGGCACGGAGAACATATATTGAAAGATAATTGGGTAGCTAGTTGCAGGAGTTATCCTTGCAATTCAAAGAGATACTGGCCAGCTTTAATCGTGACAGATGAACTGAATCAGAAGGCACTGCAAGCAGCAACCACCCCCCAACCCGGGAACATCCATCTTAAACGCTTCACACTGGAAGTCAGTCGCAAACTGCAAACAACTCTCCAAGTAATCGTTCCTTATTACACCAAATGATGCGGAATTCAAGATCAAGTAACGTGATAAAAAACTTCGCTAATAACATTAGTATTCAAAATCATAAAACTCTCAACAAATCCTCCATACTTGACGTACATTCAACACATGAATGTCAATTAAGGTAATTGAGATAGTTTGAATTGATTAAAAACACTACAAGTATGAACTTAATAAGTTAAAAATCAATTCAAAAGAAAATTGATAAAACACCACAAGAATTTATCTTGATAAGTTGAAGCAATTCTCATTTAACAAGAAGGTTGAAGAAACCTAATTAGTTGAAAATTAAAACTTCATAGTTTAATTATTCTCAAACTTTAATGTTACAATTGTAAATTGAAGACTGTTTTATAGAGTAGGTTTTATGTATTACAAAGAAATAAATATCCTAAATTAATGGTAGAAATTATAAGAAAATTAAGTCTTGTCTTGAATGAGAAAATAATGAAAATTAAGAAAACTTTGACAATAATAGGCTAGAGAAAATATTCTTTTTTTAAATGAGAGTATTTTGATTAATTGTGAAGGAATTAGGAAAAGTAAATATCGCTAATTAAGACTGGTCGTTAAAAGAGCAAAGGGAGCACCCATATATTTCCTAAACCGTGGGATTTAGTTATTCAAGGAATGAGATTTGATTTTCTCTTTCTTTAAGATATCACATGATTTAGGAAGAAGTTTTTCCTCTTGGTTGATTCTCCTTTTAAAGAAATTATTTTCCCTCTCTTTGCTCACATCACCAAGTTAGACTTTTCAATATTCGAGGGCTTTGAAGATCCTCTTATATGGTTGCATCGATATGAGAAATTTTTGGCTAACAAACACCGGCGGGAAAGAGATAAAGTGGGCTTGGAGAGGCGTGACTGTCATACCACCAGTTGAATATGAACAAGCTACATTCAACTATATTGAATTCAAAGATGATTGTTTTTTGAGGTTTGGGCCGTCAACCGGAAGTAATCTATTGGGGGAATTGGTAAATTTGAAATAGACGGGATCAGTTGTGGATTATTAGAGGCAGTTCCAAGAAAAACAAGTAAGAGCAAACAAGTTTGTTCGGGTTGATCAACATGTAAGTTTGTTTACAGTAGGACTGATCGATTCTCTCCGTTTAGAGGTTGAGATGCAATCACTCACCACTCTTATGCACGCAATGAGAGTGACTAGAATTTTTGAAAAAAAAATAACAGTTGTGCATTATGACTAAACACAATTATAGTGACCCTTTTCAGTTCCTGATCAAGTCTAACAATTTAGTTCAGAAAACACTGACTCCATAGGATAGTAACATTACAACCCAATCTTGTAACGCTTTCTCTCCATTTATAAAAAAACTAATAAGGGCAAAGATGATAGGTAAGAGGCCGAAGGGGTTGTGTTATAACTGAGATGCAATCACTCACCACTCTTATGCACGCAATAAGCATGACCAGAGTTTTTGAAAAAAAAAATAACAGTTGTGCATTATGATTGAACACAATTATAGTGACTCTTCTCAGTTCTTAATCAAGTCTAACAATTTAGTTCAGAAAACACAGATTCCATAAGACAGTAACATTACAACCCAATCTTGTAACACTTTCTCCCATTTATAAATAAACTAATAAGGGAAAAGATGATAAGTAGGAGGCCACAGGGGTTGTGTTATAACTGCGATGAACCGTTTGTTCAAGGTCATCAATGTAAACAGTTGTTCTGGCTCGAGATTGAAATCGATATTGGTCCTGAGCAACAAGAAAAAACAGACAAGGCAGGTATATCCGCATTTCAAGCTTGAGAACAAGCTTGAAAACTTGAGGAGAATGCTGTTATGGACACATTTATAGGGCCTAAATAAGAGGTTGAAGTTCAATTAAATACGAAATTCTAATTAGTGTTAAATTTCTAAATAGTAAATATGGAATTCTAATTAGTATTAGATTCTTAAATAGTGTATGATTCTTAAACTTAAGGAGCGATTTTCTTGTACTTCGATATGAAGGATGTTGAAAGTAAAGAAATTAAAGTTTTTCTTTTCGGAAATTTATGTGTTTTGATTTACAAGCTTTGATATAGATATTATCATTCATTTGAGGCACATGGTTTTGAGCTAATAAATTCTCTTTTTATTATGTCAATTAGTTGCAGACTGCAGCTAGGGCTCTTCAAGAATATCAGTTTCTTCAAGATCAACCGAATCTCAGATCTGATTCTTATGGACAAGGTGCTCAATCTCATCATCATGATTCACCACTTGATGGTCCACGGGCTAGAGCTTCATCAATTGGACTTGCAAATGAACCACAGTCCAAGGTTCATGGTGCCCATGTTCATGTATCACGTGTTCGTGTTTTATCTCAACAAGAGAAGGCAGGACATATCTCTTCATCTGCTCATGGCAGTGATGGCATTCCAGCAGAGATGGAGCCCTTTGTAAACAATAGAATACATGCTTCACCAAGCACTCGCCCTACTTCGGGACCTGAAGATCCATATGTATTGTCTAATGGGCAAAATTTAAATAGTGATCATGATTTGCGGATAGATAGGAAACGCAAGGTTTATATCATGTTAAATATTTCAAAAAAAAGTCTTGCTTTTTGTTTCATGTGTTATTTGGCTGAAGAATGTGTGTTGTATGCTCTGTTTATTCTTGCAGAGTGATGAAGCCAGAATTGCAAGGGAAGCTGAAGCTCAAGAGAATCGGATTCGGAGAGAGCTTGAGAAACTAGATAATCAGAGGCGAAAGGTTATTCTATCTGTCATGAGTTGTGGATTACGGTAAAAAAATAATTTTCCTATACTGATGTTTTAAGATTTGTATTCTTAGAATGAAGAACGAATAAAAAAAGAAATGGAGAGACATGAACGTGAAAGGCGGAAGGAAGAAGAGAAGCTATTGCGTGAGAAGCAGAGAGAGGAGGAGAGGTCACAGCGAGAGCAAAAACGTGAAATTGAAAGAAGAGAAAAGTTTTTGCAAAGAGAAATTCTAAAAGTAAGTTTTAGGAGAATGTTAGTTTTTCGGCCACTACTTTTATTTTCTGATTCTGAAGAGAACTGGTTAAATCTCTTATTTGTCTTCAAGGCTGAGAAGAGGAGGCAAAAAGAAGAGCTTCGCAGAGAGAAAGAGGCAGTGAGACGCAAGATTGCCATTGAGAAGGCAACTGCCCGCAGAATTGCTAAAGAATCTATGGATCTAATTGAAGATGAACAGCTAGAACTCATGGAATTGGCTGCTGCAAGCAAGGGAATAGCATCAATAATACAACTTGACCATGATACCTTGCAAAACCTGGAGTTTTTTAGGGGTAAGTGTCTCTTGATAAATATGTTTAGTTTTCGGATAACTGTTTATGGATGTAGTGATTTGGTTGATTTTGAATTTCCGAATTAAAGAGAAAATCCTAAAAGTTTGACAGGTTAGTTTTTGGACAGAGAAAACTTATCTCAGCTAATGTTTATCCAAGGTTAGAAAACTATGCTCTCCATGGGCATCGTCTCTATTGCCAATGGTGCAGTCTGGGACTTACAGACTTCAACTTTTTCTGTAGAAGTTTAATGATTACATGCATGTATACATGTGCCTTTCTGCATATCTTATGATTAGAATCCTGTTCTGGTTGCTTTTAGCATCCGATGTGCTGTTAGTTTTTCATCCCCTACATTGTAGGAGCATATTCGGGAAGCAATCAGCTTAGGAATTAACAAACTAAATACATTTCTAGTGTTTAAAAGTGCTCGTCTTTGGCAGCATTGGTCTTTTCTTTGTCCAGCTTAAACTTGTAAGGAAAAATTTTGGGTCCTCAATATTTCTAACAGCTGATAATTTTCCTCGGAGTTCTGTTTTTTTTATTCAATCAGTGTTATGTTTGATCTTATCCATTGGTCTGTGGCTGGATCTGGGTGTTTGACTAGGAAGAGGAGGTTTAATATTGGATTTGAATGCAAGTTCTAAGGAGCCAATTTTTTTTACTTTTAATCTTAATCTTTTGCGTGGATTTACATTGAGAGCATTGGCTTAAGCAAGATAATTGTGGTTTTCTGGGTTCATCATCTTGGAAGAGCTTGGGCAATGATTTCAAGGCATATTTGCTTAAAGGAATAAAGTTAAGCTTAAATATAATAGCTATTTAATGGTATTGGAATAATGCTGAAATGGAATTGCGATGACATTGCAATATTCACTTAATCAGTAGTAGTTCCTTGCAATTTTATTTCAAATTTTGGTTTGATATTATTGAAGATTGAAATAGAACTATAATAAGCTGCAAATGACTATAAGATCCTCCGTTTGTTAGATTAATTTAAAATTAATGTAAAATTACATCTATATCAATAGAATTTATTTAGTATTACATGATAAACTTGAAGTTTTATAAAATTATTTTAACTAGCAAATATTAGATGTATTATATTTAATTTCATTAAATTATAAATTTTCATATAAATTGTTTGAAAACCTCTTACTTTATATTGGAATATTTTTATGTTCAAGTATAAAAATTCTTCAATTAATTAGAAGTTTTCTATATATCACATTATTGCATAACTAAAAATCTTCAAATATACTCAAATTTAAAAGAATTACTATTGATCAATTACTTAAAACCCACATTAAGAAGTAGAGAGACACTGGTCTTAAAAGTAAATTGAGTGATTACAGTTGAACTTGTAGTCTTGATTCATCATGTCCCACCTATGAAGTCGGGCTACAAGTTCTTCACTATTTCTAATTACAAAATACCTTTGGTTCAACTAACCAAAGGTATATTCCTGTCTTATTCAGTGATTCAGACGTGCCATTAATATGTTGCCTGGTTGGATTTGCTTGTGGTTGGTGCAGTGGAGTCATTACATGTCTTCTAGAGAGGAATGATGCTAGAACTTTTTAAGCAGGACTGTACAGACTCGAGGAATAGAATAGGGATTCCTTTATGTGGATTCCTCTTTATACTTTTAATAGAGAATTGATTGCTTTTTTTTAAAATAAAAGTGGGGAGTCATATTGATGTAAGAGTGCCAAGGGGGCACAACCCATTTACAATGTATTTACAAGTCGATTGAACTATCAACAACAAAACCAAGATCATCGATCGAAACAGTCGATATTATGTCCTAAAATAATGGAACCAAAATAGTGAAACCAACTATCAATGATTTTGTTGAAATCAAGTTCTATTCCTACAAAAGTGCATTGTTTCTTTCCTTCCAAAGGACCCATATAATGGTGAGTGAGATTACTCTTAACATTTTCCTCTTGCTGCTGTTGCCTTCCCAAGCTAGGAGTTCTGCATATATGTTGTTGTTCATGACCCAAGACAGCCCCATAAGGCTAATAATAGTGTTCCTATGTGCTGTGAAACCAAACAGCCTAAAAGCAGGTGATTGCAGGTTTCAAAATTATTTGTTATATAGGAAACATCTATTTACGATTGTGAAACCTCTTTTTATTAGGTTGTCAAGGGTAAGAATGCGACCTTTCACGGCTTCCCAAGCAAAAAACAAAATTCTTGGAGTTGCATCCGATTGCTATATTACTTTGGAGGGGGAAACTAATGTTGTTCTGATTAAGATTGCTCGAATAGGGATTGGATTACTATTTTGTATTAATTTTGTTTTGATTGTTTTTCTTTGGTTCTTATGTTCTTTTATGCTTATTTCATCTCCAATGATAGCTTTGCCGCCTTCATGTTAATTTCCTCTTTCCTTATTTGATATATTTCCTTTTACATGAAAAGAGAGTGGGCCCTTATGATGATATTCAACTTTTTTAATCTATTTTTACCTGTCGTTTGAACTTAAATTCCTCTCGAACCTTCCAGTGATGTCCTTTTTGTTTATGTGATTTGTTGTGTTTTGTCTGACCCAAACAGTGTTCTAGTTGTACATCTTCTTTTCTTCTATTTGCTTGTTTTTTTTTTAAATAAACTCTTCTGAGAATCTGCAACACACTTTTTTCTATAGATTCCTTGTGCATGTTCCCGCCTCAATCTGTGCAGCTAAAAAGACCATTTGCCATTCAGCCCTGGAGTGATTCTGAGGAGAATGTTGGGAACCTTCTCATGGTATGACCTGATCAACTTTTATTTTCCTCCTTCTTTTTGATGAATTGGCACTACTGAGAAGCTCAAGAGCAGTTCATGATAGCTGCTTTTTTCTCCTTTAAGCCTTACCTTATATCATTTGAGCCTTGCTTTGCAGAACTTTGTTTCAGCCGTAAAGAGATGAGATAATTTTTTCCAGATCCGCTTACATCTTGATAATTTTTACCCTCCTTTTGGTGTTTGATTTTTTCATCAATATCTAATCTGATTGCTATTGTGGTGGTTGTCTACTTTGTTGTTGTGCACATTGATTTAAGCTATTTTTGAGGATATGTTACTATTATGCTTTGAACATTGTGGTTGCCATTTATCAGGTCTGGAGATTTTTGATTACTTTCACGGACATACTTGGACTTTGGCCTTTTACACTTGATGAGTTTGTTCAATCTTTTCATGACTATGTGAGTTTGCAACATTTTAATCCTTAACATGCTCGTACAATTTACAGTACCTGATTTTTTTTTCCTTGTCTCAATCTCATTTTGTATCAGGACTCGAGATTGTTGGGTGAGATACATGTTACTCTTCTGAAATCGATAATAAAAGACATTGAAGATGTTGCAAGAACACCTACTGGAGTAGGAGCAAATCAATATTGCTCTGCCAATCCTGAAGGAGGACATCCTCAGATTGTTGAAGGGGTAACCTTCCTGTCCAATATGTTGAAAATCAGTTGTTTATCAAATGAAATGATTTTGTTCTACTGAAGTATTTCTTAATGTTTTACATTGTATCAGGCATATGAGTGGGGCTTTGACATACGTAATTGGCAGAGGCACTTAAACCCATTAACATGGCCTGAAATATTTCGTCAATTAGCACTATCTGCAGGATTTGGGCCACAGTTGAAGAGGACTGCCCAATGGACTTACTTGTGTGACAACAATGAGGTTAATTTTTTACTCTCTCCTTTATCTGCAGCATGGAATTTATTTTTTCATGAAGAAATAAAATGAAAGAACTTCTGTCTTGTAATAAAATATTAAGATAATTCAAGTAAGGAAATATGTGGCAACTGTGGTATCATTCACATAAATATTTGTAGTGTGGATGTGAATCATGATCTCATAGTAAATACATGCATCATGAGCACTATCACTAGCCGAGGTCAAGATAAGTTATGTTTACTTTGCTTACTTTGGGATCAGGGCTCCGAAGGCATGAATAACACAGTACAGGGCCATGTTTAATTGTAAAAATCGTTTTGAGAGTTTGTTTTTCCAGATTGACATATGTTTATATACAAATAAAAAATGACTAGTAAAAAATGAAAGGCGTCATTTTAGTGCTTGAAGGATGGACTATATGCAGTTCAAATAAATTGCAATTCTTGTTAATGCTATACCACCAAATTTTCACAAGCCTAACTTGCTTCTGTTTCGAATATCTGACTTTACATGTCTCTGGAGTGTCATACCAAATGAAATGTTCTTCTACTGAATTAAGCGAGCTAAGGAAGAATTTAGGTTCCTCTTAGTCATTTTCTTTTATTTTTTGAAATAACAAGTATAAAATGTATCATTAGATATAGGCACTAAGGGGATACAAGTCCATATACAAGATTATTTACAAGTCAGTAAGGATATCAGTTAGTTCTCTTAAATTCTCTATGGAGTACAATGGTTGATCCATAATTAAAATACAACGGGTCTGGAACCATCTTTCTCGAGATCATGAGTCATGGTTGTGACATCGCGATCATGAGTTACTACCATAAAAAATTGGAGCCTCTATCTTCTTTCCTTTCCACATGGTTCTAAGATTACAAGTCCTATCAGCTGCAGCTACTTGTGGACTTGGAGATTTTGATTAGCCTGACTAGCTTGTCCTGCCACCTCAGGAGGCATTTCCTACCCTAGCGCCTTAATTGACACATCGATTAAGTGTTTAAGGACATCCAGTATGGCGCTCAATATATGTTGTTCTTGCTGAAGAGACAATTGGTCGATTTTGGCATGCAATTTAGTGTTAGTTGTGATTATAGATGATCGAGATTGTTTCCCAGAGAAAGGTAAAGCACAAATGTGATGATACATACTATGGAAGCAGCAAGAGTGCATAAAAACTTGGGAACTTGTTTGAACTGGTGAAGAACCGGTTTGGAGGGGCCTGACTGGTCTGTGAATTAATTTGATCAAAATTGGTTTAACTGGTCAAATTAAGTTTGTTCGAGGAAGTAATTTTTGTGGATTGCACTCATATGATGTCCACATGCTGGCTTCTAGCCATCAGAGAGTGTTGGGTTTAGGAAAAAGGCTTGTTAGACTCTAAACTATGGTGGTGTTGAAGTTGGCCACTACTCACTCAGTGGTCGCTGGAGATCTGAAATGGCCAAGAGTTAGGTTTAATTTTTCATTTGCTTGTTTTGCTATGGGCAATCTGATGGTTGGGACTTGTGAACTTGTTTGGGTTCGGACAATTAGGAATTTTGTTGTAAGAATTTGGGGCACTCAAGAACTTTGTTCTTGCTAATTGACAAAGGACATATTAAGCTTAATTTGCCAAATTTGGAATTTGTATCAGCTTTGGAATTTTCCAGACATCACATTGCAGAATTGATGCCTCTTGAGAGGGATTACAAGGATATTTATAGCCTTCCAATATAACTCTAATCTGAACAGAACAAGAAATCTAAATAAGAATTTAAATCATGAATAATCCAAACACCATTAGAAGCTTGAAAGAAAGAAATAAATCCTAATACTAGTAGAGAGAAAACTATGAAATAAAATCCTAAGTTGTATCCTTAGCTATTGTGGTGGGCTGTCAAAATATTAAGACTTGTTTTCATATTTACTTTTTGTTAAATGGTTACAGGGTAAAGCTTGTGAAGATGTTATTTCTACTCTACGCAGTGGTTCAGCAGCTGAAAGTGCATTTGCAATGATGCGGGAAAAGGGTTTGCTGCTTCCACGAAGATCCAGGCATCGTTTGACACCCGGAACTGTCAAATTTGCAGCATTCCACGTTCTTTCCCTTGAGGGAAGCAAGGGATTAACAGTGTTAGAACTTGCAGATAAGATTCAGGTTAGTGTTGTTTCTTGTTGAAGTAGTCATTTGTCTTATTGATGTTTCCTGATTTATCTGTTTCTTGGAAGAAATCTGGACTCCGCGACTTGACGACTAGCAAGACGCCTGAAGCTTCAATTTCTGTTGCTTTGACGAGGGATGCAAAGCTTTTTGAAAGAATAGCTCCTTCAACATATTGTGTACGAGCTGCTTACAGAAAGGATCCTGCTGATGCTGAGGCAATACTTGCAGCAGCCAGAAAGAAGATTAGGATTTTTGAAAATGGATTCTTAGGCGGAGAAGATGCTGAGGATGTTGAAAGAGATGAGGACTCTGAATGTGATGTTGAAGAGGATCCCGAGGTTGATGATTTAGCCACTCCCTCAACCACAGCAAAAAATATTGACGACCATAACAAAGTGAAAACTTGCTCACGAAGTGGAAATGGAGATATCTGCAATACTATTACTGTAAAGGTTGACAGTGAGTTCAACAAAGATTTCTCATCTCTCTCGTCAAGTAGTATCAAGAATGCAAGCAGTCCAAAGGACACTGAACAACATATTGCTGGTGAGGATGTTCGGGCTGATAATATGGGACTACAGAATGCTGAGATTGACGAAAGCAAGCAGGGGGAATCATGGGTTCAGGGCCTTGCAGAAGGGGATTATTCACATCTCTCTGTTGAGGAGCGCCTCAATGCCCTTGTTGCCTTAATTGGTGTTGCCAATGAAGGGAACTCAATTCGTGCTGTTCTTGAGGTTAGTCTGTCTTTTCCCTCTGGTTGTACTAATTTTTTTTTCTTCATTTTCAAAGAGAATGCACTTTCTTTTTGTCAGTTTGTGTTTGATAGGAACATTTTTACAGGATCGCTTGGAAGCAGCAAATGCTCTTAAAAAGCAAATGTGGGCCGAGGCACAAGTAGATAAGAGCCGTTCAAAAGAGGAGAGCTTAATTAGAATAGATTATCCATCTGTTATGGGAAGCAAAGCTGAAACAGTTCTTAGTAATTCCATACTAGAGGGTAGCCAGAGCCCATTGCTTATGGTTGATAATAGAACCAAAGAGGCATCTTCCAACATAGCAGAAGATCAAAAGCCTTCACAGACTGCTCTGATTCAGCTTCAGAACTCTTCCAATGAAAGGACCTTAGTTGCTCAAGATGCTTTAGCAGGTCAGGATATTGTCTCAAATCAGCAACATGGATGTACCTCAAAACGATCAAGATCACAACTGAAATCTTACATTGCCCACAGAGCTGAAGAAATGTATGTATATAGGTCCTTGCCTCTTGGTCAAGATCGGAGACGCAATCGCTACTGGCAGTTTGCGGCATCTGCCTCAAGAAATGATCCTTGTTCTGGACGGATATTTGTTGAATTACATGATGGAAACTGGAGACTTATTGATAATGAACAGGTATCTTTAAGCTTTTTATTTTTGTAGAAAAAGATGCTTTTGCAGCTACGAACAGATTGAATTTTATCTGGCAATTATTTTTTTTGAAATAAAATTTTATCTGGCAATTATGGCCATATTCTTGACGGAATGCAGTAACCACAATCAAAGGATGAGTAGTATTTGTTAAAATTCTCTTTAATTTGGATGTACAGAGGTGTGGCAATACTGTGTTTGCTACACTCTGCTTAATACTACTCTGGTTACGGTTGTGAAAACTTTGTGGAGGAATGCTATGACTAAGTCTGGTGCATGAGGGGTGCACAAGGACTGATGATCTAAGAATTAGCTATTATGCCTGAAAAGAAGTGTGTTCCTCAACATACCTTACTTTGGGCAGTACTACTCAATTTGTTGTCCTTGATGTCATTCAACAATAAAACTGATAGGGAAGAATGGTTTGCATGGTAGATCTTGCTTTGATGGGGATTGAGATTGTAACCTGTGTTATCTTACCTAACTAATGCTCAGGTTTTTTTTATTGGTCAGAATTGGGAACACCTGCAGAAATTTGGTTTTAGTATTATTGGCTTGTGAATGCATGTAGTGGTTTCTCAGAAATTACTGGTTGAAGGCTTCAGTCCGAAGATCAGGAATCTGATCATGTTTTGCCATAGGAAAAAAGTGATATCTTGGGGCATCTTATACTTCTCCAATGAATTTTTCTTTGCAGTGAAATGCATATTATTTACATATGATTAATCTGATATGCTCCATTCTCTGTATGGCCGCTTATCTGCTCTATAATTTATTTTCCCTATATGCCTAGTTGGTTAGCTTCTTTTGAACTGTATAATCTTCTGAAATTTTTGCTTATATCTAGCATAAGACTAAGTTGATGTGACCATTTGATTTTTTTTGCTTGTTTTTAATATATGTCCATGATCTTATCTTGCATAGGCCTTTGAAGCTCTTCTTTCTTCTTTGGATACACGAGGGGTTAGAGAATCCCATTTGTGCATAATGTTGCAAAAGATTGAGACGGCGTTTAAAGAAAATATTCGGAGAAACTTGCTGCCTGCCAGCACTGTGACTTCAAGTGGAGCCATCATGAAGAGTGAAGCCTTGGATTTGGATTCTAGTCCTGACTGCCCTGCTGCTGCTGACAGTCCGAGCAGTGCAATTTGTACTTTTAACCCTGATACATTGCAGACTTCATCGTCTTTCAATGTTGAGCTTGGGAGAAATGAAAGTGAGAAGAAGAGTGCTATGAAGAGATACCAAGATTTTCAGAGGTGGATCTGGTCGGAATGCTACAATTCACTCCCTTTGTATGCTAGAAAATTTGGGAAGAAAAGATGCATGCAATTGTTGGTCACTTGTGAATTGTGTCTCGACTCATATCTTCTTGAAGACAGTCACTGCCTCCCTTGCCACCAGACGTTCAGCACAGGCAATAACAAGTTCAAGTTATCAGAGCATGAGACTCAATGTGAAAAGAGGAGAAAGTTAGACCCCAAGGATTCGGATATGATGGATTCTTCTTCCCCCCTTGGAATCAGATTGCTCAAGTCCTTGCTTGCTTTCATGGAGGTCAGACAGCCATTCCTGAGATTAATTTCCATAATCTTGGCATTTTTAGGTATTAAGGGTATGGTTTGCTTTTGGCGCATCTCATATGGTATATGTTTGATTGACAGGCAACTGTCCACCAGAGGC